TTGTGTTTCATACAATAAAATGAATAAATAAGTTATTATAAAATGTTTCCCTGTGTCTTCATTTTAAATAACTGTTTTTTGAGTTATTTGGCATAGGAAGTAATATTCTAAAGAATAGAATATGTTCTTTAGCATTCAAAGATTAACTTGAGTATTTGGCAATTCTGCATTTCCAAAGCAAAGTGACTACTATGTGCATAAGAAGTTTAGCATGCACAGAGCAGTGAGAAGTTGCTAGAGAATAAAGTAGAACATACTTAATATTTGTTTTTCCTCATTTCCTAAACTGTTAGAGAAACACTGAACGCTGAATGAATATTTAGGTTAATGATAAAATAAAAATGGTTAAAAATTATACACGAAGAACAAAGCATGTATTTATAATCATATGATGAACACATTTTATATAGTACACACACATTCTTCTCATATTTTTATTTTTTTAGGTAGGCTAATGTATACTAAAAGTGAAATAGACAATTTTCAGTTGAATACAGTTTTCAGCAACAATCAACGTGTTGCTTTAATCCTAAACCAAAATAGACAGGGACTAAGTAGGTGAGATAAAAGAATATTTTTATAAACTAAAGTGATTGGCTTTATTCAACACATATTTGTAAAATAATCCATCTCAACTGCTAAGACTTTTAAACTTGTACATTAAATTGCCTTTATTTATGACCTTTCTGAAGAGTCAAGAAGAAAAGGGAAACAGGTATTTTATTTAGTTTTCAACATCATTTATTCATCTTTGTATTGATAATACATCCCCATAGCTCATAATCTAAAAGGACACAAACAACATTCTTTTTCTCACTTTGGGCAAATTCACTCAGTTCTCTCCAGAGGTAACTAGCAATATCAAGTTTCTTATGTATCATTCCCAGGGATAATTTTAATTGTGTACTTGTTTCATATATATGTACATGAGTGTGTGTGTATAATGTGTTTGTGTGTATATATGCCATATATCTTATCACTTTTCAAACAAATAAGAGCATAAAATGTACACTATTCTTGTATTGTCCATCTAACAGTATATCAGTTCATGAGAAGCTTCTATATTCATTATAGTAGCTATAAGATATTTATATATAAATACAACAGTCTATTTTGTTTATAATTAAATAGTATTTGATAAATATTATGTGGTTTCCAATATATTATCTCATACAATTTTTAAATAATTCTATGAAAGAATAATCATTTCATTTTACACTAAGTATTTTAAGAATCAGAATTAAGTAATACTCGGTTATGGGACTGGCATTCTTTAGGCCCAAATCCCAAGATATGACAAATATTCCAATCCATTTCTGTCTAAGTCCAATTTCATGCCATTATCTGTTTCAATATGATAAAACTGTGCCTTGACTTTTCAAATTTTCGTCATGTTTCAATAATTATTTATATTTTAAATAATTCTTTAATAAAAGTAGAAGTTGAACAAAACAGTAAAACTGAACTGGTTAAGCTATGGCAAAAATTCAAAGTAAGTGTTTTTTTTTTTCTATTGTCAGTTAAATGATCCATACTAGAGAAAATATAGAGAAACTACTCTTGAACATTGATGTCAAGACTACGTTTGTGGAAGACAGTGTAGCGATTCTGCAAAAACCTAAAGACAGAAATACCATTCAACCTAGCAATCTCATTACTGGGAATATACCCAAAGGAAAATAAGTCATTCTATTACAAAGACACATGCACAAATATGTTCACTGCAGCACTATTCACAATAGCAAAGACACGGAATCAACCTAAATGCCATCAATAATAGACTGAATAAAGAAAAAGAGGTACATATACACCCTGGAGTACTATGTAGCCATAGAAAAGAATGAGATCATGTCCTTCGTCAGGACACAGATAGAGCTGTGATGAAATAATCTGTACAAACTGCCATGACACAAGTTTACCTATGTAACAAAGCTGCTCTTGTACCCCTGAACTTAAGATAGAAGTTAAAAAAAAGAGGATGTGAACTATTTCAGTTAAATAACATACAAAAAAGGTGAAAAAGAAACCCACAGAAATAAAGCCTTCATATACCTCTTTTTATCTTATGAAAAATATTATTTGATATTGAATTTCTTGTATTACCCTCTGTATTTTAAAGCTGTTTTTCTACTCTCTCTTTTATAAGCATCAAAAAGTACTAAAATATATGCTTAGCTCTCTTTCAACAGTATTCACTTCCCTCAAATTCTTTATTTAATAAAATGATTTAACTAAACTGTGACTAAGGAATAAATGACTGACCTCCAAATCTTCTAGAATAAAGATATAATAATAAAGAATGAAGAAGTACTATAAGTAGAGGCATTTCAAAAGTCCATTTATTTCTTATGCTTGTGGTAGTCTTCCCTTTTGTTATCAACGAAACTCACAGCTTTCTCTCTTCTCTAACGATGACAAAAAAAAGTGTGCCTTTAGTGATGATGCTTATATTATGTGACTGCCACCACGGCCAGAGTGGTTAGATCTAATCATAGTTACCTGACATAAGATTGAGCCAATCAGCTTCTTTATAAGAGAAATTTAAAGTTAATCTCAAATTGGAAGAAAAATATCATCCTGTAGTTCCACAGAAACAGCAGAGTATGGGAGTCTATGGACATCTGCTGAGCTCCCACTGACTCTTTTATTTCCTATATTTTTATTGTTTGACTTTCTTTCTTTTATGTTTCCAATAATTATCCTCCCCATTTCTTGGTATTATTGTTTACTTTAAGCATTGATGTGTCATTTTGAAAAAATTTATTCAACAAATATTTAATATGAATTTTAAACTTCAATATGCTTCATCCTATTTTAGGCACTGGGGATTTTTCAATAAATCCCCAACATGATTTCACCCTTGTTGAATTTGCATTTTAAGAAAGACTGAGAGCAACAAGAAAACAAACATAGTATAAATTCATGTAATGATAAGTGCTATGGAGAAAAAAATCTAACTAATAATATAGAAAGAGAGGAAGTTGGGAAGAAATATTATTTCAGATAGGAAACAGAACGAGCCTGTTCATGGAGAAGCCAATGCTCAGAATTAAATGATAGAAGAAGTGGGATTATAAACCTTAGAAAGTTCAGGGGAAATAATATTCTAATGGGGAAGACAAGCACGTTCAAAGATCCTCATAAAGAACTACACGCTGGTGTGTTAAAAAAAATTGTATGGAGGAAGGAGGAATGTGGTAGGACAAGAGAAAAGGCAGTCAGGTGACAATATCTGAAATAGTAAGAGTAAACTTTTACAAATTAATGGACTTTTGGTGATTTATTTTCTTGATTTAAAAATAAAAATTCAGTGACTTTGTGGATTTGTTGATGTGAGATAACATATTAAAATCACATAGCATATTGTTCCATACATAGTAATTGCTTTTCTTCCCTTTGTTTATTATGTTCTTGTTTAAATGTTAAAGTTGAGAGAAACTCCTACATTATTATTATTAGAGATTCAGGAATATATATATTTGATAAGGCTGTTCAAAATAATAAAAAGACAAAAAGCATGAATAATTACAGTTAAGATGTTTGAAACAGTGCTTGATTTTCCTTGTGTTGATAGTATAATGGTGTCTTCTATACACAAATATAATGAATGCATCTGATCTGACATTAATAGACAATATACTTTTAGTGATATAGTTTGAATTTAATAGTGGAACTATCATTTATCTTTTCTTTTTTATCTTTCTTTTATTGACCATGTACTGTGAGTTTACAATATGCTAGATCTTTTCTTTGAATAATGTGTAACCAAACTACCATTTACAATTCCAAAGAGGCAGAGAGGTTGAATTCTGCCCTCATCAGCCTAAATTTAAATCTGGTTGTGCCATCCTGGCTAACCCGGTGAAACCCCGTCTCTACTAAAAAATACAAAAAACTAGCTGGGCGAGGTGGCGGGCGCCTGTAGTCCCAGCTACTCGGGAGGCTGAGGCAGGAGAATGGCGTAAACCCGGGAGGTGGAGCTTGCAGTGAGCTGAGATCCGGCCACTGCACTCCAGCCTGGGCGACAGAGCGAGACTCCGTCTCAAAAAAAAAAAAAAAAAAAAAAAAAAAAAAAAAAAAAAAAAAAAAATCTGGTTGTGTCTGATTCTAAACTCATGTTATTTGCACTACACTGTCCTGTCAACAATAATTATAAATAACATCTTTTGAATATTAACTGGATGAGTTTGCAGATGTTGCTTCTGAGAAGGAGCAGGTTTTTCTATTTAACATACCTTCCCTGGGCATAGACAATACCTTCCCCTCAAATAGGTAATATGGAAACTTGAATGAAAAACGGATGAATTAATAAAACTAATACACAACAACTGCCCAAAATATTTCTGGTATTACAAAGGGCAAAATCAAATATTTTTCAACCCTAGTTTAAAAAGACATAAAATGTCAAAGCAGATATTAATGGACCAAATTATAATTAATTGTAGTTTTGAGTTGACTTCAAACATTTGGAGAGGTTTGATTTTAAAAGATAATTATTTATAAATCTTACTGTTTTGGCATCTGGTAATATATTGTAATGCTTATTTATATCATGATATATTAAAGAAAAGTAATTCCCTTATATAATGACATGTTAAAGTAATTCCCTTATATAATGACATGTTAAAGAAAAGTAATTGCCTTATATAATGACATGTTAAGGAAAAATAATGACATGTTAAAGGATGATGTTTAGGCATCACTATTGCAGTTGGGGGGTGGCATGTATAAATCTGGATTATTTGCAAATAGATTTATTTCATATTTTATTCCTCACTTGATACACCAAAAAAAAAAAAAAAAGAAGAATGTGTTTTATATCCTTTTAATTTCCTGTCTTGCATAGCTTGATGGAAAATGAATTATTTTATGCCTGGTTAGAGTTCATTGCAGTGCCTTCTCTCCATGGTTTAGCTGTAATTGTCAAATATTACAGTAATCTGCAGTAGAACATGTTCATTTACATAAAGATGAAGTAAGGCTATTTTCAGTGACGTTACCTGAGACTCTCTGAATTTCTCTGGATACTCTATCACAGCACAGGGCTCCTTCTTCTCAAAAGATGGTGTGTTCTCTGAGTTCCAGCTTGACATCTGGCAAGTAGATACATTTGCTGGTCACTGTAGTCCTGTCAAGAATAATTAATTTTCTACTTCTCTTGGTCTTCTATTACAATAAAATAGTGAAAGTTTTTCACTAATCACACGGAAAAAAACTAAAAGACAAAGGCAGTAATATAATGCACAGCATTTCTCAAAGCCCACTGCCTCGTTAATACCAAGTTCTTTATTCTCAGAACTATGATTTTAACAAAAGAAGAAAGCAGTGCTAGGTCTACATGTATTCTATGTGTGTATGTATGTGTGTGTATGTATGCTTGTGTGTGTGTTCATATGTTTGTGTGTGTGTGTGTAAGGCAAATGTTACTTCAAGATTGGTAATGAGCAATAATTTAATTCATTTCTTCAGTTGTTTAAACATGAAAGATTTTTTTCTCCAGTTTGTTCTACTTCTTCAATTAAATGTTACCTTCCCTTGCTGTAAAAATTATTTTAAATCTTCGGAAGTGCTTTGCCTTTACAAAATGTTTTAATACTTTAGAGGCCAGAGTCAACTACAATTGACAGATAGCTTTGTAAGGAAGGAATTATTTAAAGGATAAATAATATACCAATATACATATAAATCCAGAATAGGAATCACATGTTATAGCTTTATGAGAAACAGTCTCATTATAATAGATTAATAAAATATCTGAAGTTCCCTGGATGTTATTCACTTTTATGCTTATCTACATGTTTACAAATTTCCTTTCAAAATTTTGAAATAAATGCAATGAGTAGCAGAATAGAATTGCTTGAGAAAATGAAAATAATTTTATTTCTCATCCTTCCAAAATTTGTTGAAGGATATCCTTTAGAAAATAATGTTGATTAAAGTAAAAGGGAAGAAGTAAAATGGGGAAAGGAAAAGGAAGTTAGGAAGGAAGGAAGGATACCATATCGAATAATTCCGTTTTGGAATTAGCTCAGTCACAATTTGCAAATCCCAATGGATACTTTTTGATCCAAAATAAAGATATACATAAAGCAGTGGGTGAGGAATTGAATGGTTATCTTTCCCTTGCCTTTCATGATTGACATGGACCAATTTTCAGTTCTTTAATTATCACCTACAGCCTCTACATTTCATGTCCAAAGTCAGAAATAATAAAATACATGCAGATGTTATATTTGACATTCATATATACACATATATATGCATACATATATATGCACACATATGCATACATATATACATATATATGCACACATATATATGTATATAATTCACTGGTGACAATGCATCAGTACTTGAAAATATCACATTTTAACAGTTGTGAAAATTAAGTGAAATAATTTATATAATACACATTGCAAAACATATAGTAGCCATTCAATAAGTGTAATCTATCCCTTTTATCTATCTGGCATTCTTTGAGTAGGAAAAAATATTACTAGCTTTGTAATAAGAACCATTTTCAAATTAAAGCTACTTAATAAAAATAAAATAATTCAATTAATTCAATAAAATATCAACTTTTATGGAGTTAAAATAATTAAATGAGATTGCACATATATAGAATATATAGTCTATATCTCATTTAATTATATATTCTGTATATAGAATATATAAATTGAAATGAGACTAAATATATGGATTAAAAATCTATGCATTCTACATCCTGTATGTAGAGAATTCTATATACATTCTATATACCATATATAGAATATATATAGAATTTTAATAATTTAATATATTTTAAAACTTTAATATATTTTAATAATTTAATTTTAATAATTTATGTTAATTATATATTAATAATTTGTTATATTCATATATTCTTTACATGATTATGAACTATGATTGTTGTCATTATCTTACACAGGGCAACCTACCATAGAAAAAGGTATCCTGTGATCACATAACAAGCAAGTGGTAAAACTAGGATTTGAACCCAAGCTATGTCTCAGTTCTAACCACTTTACTGTTATTTTCTTGAAACCAAATATATTACTTGTTTAGAAAAAAATTCCTATAACCTTATTTAAAGAAAAATTTACACCTCAAAGGGACCAATAGATTATAGAGCTCCATAGTTTCAGACAAAAAAGAGAAGTACCATGATTGTTGTTGAAGAAGAAGAGGACAGAGAAAAGAGAAGGAAGCTGGGCAGGAGCTGTGCCTGGAATGAGCAAGGCTTTACTATATTCTGATGCTTCCAAACCTCCAATGCGTTTATCAGAAACATATAACAATCATAAGTGTCTCGATGAAAACGAATACTTGGATAAATCACTAAAGACTAAAGAGTTTTTGGCAGTTAGATTTCTGTTAATTAGACATTTGTTGTCTGCCTTCTCCCCATCAGCTTTTCAAGGCTAAGAGTTGGTCTATGCTCAGAAGTTACATGATTTATTTTTATCTGATTTCTAATCCTTCTGGCCCTAAGAGTTTATCATCATAAAACTAAAGATATTCTTTAAACTTTTCTTCAAGTGCATAATATATTGTTATGTCTCTAATGAGAAATTCTCTGCCACATGATTAAGGAAATTGTTTATGAACTAAACCAAAAAATGTAAAAATAATAGAATATGCTATGTATGTAAACACAAAGTTGTTTATTACCAATGTATAACTATTTTGGAACATTTTCTTGGTTTCTTAACTATTTTAGAAGTTATTTCCTGTCATTTGCATACTATTTTGTTTAAGATTCCCCATAACTAGCAGACATTTGTTGAAATGAGCATATCCAACTACACAATAGGTAGAAATAGCCTAAATCTTATTAACTCTAGTGATTGCTCTCATAACCATTTCAATGGAAAAGCCATGTTGCTGCCAAACTTTATCCAATATATTAAGCCTCTTTGGTTGCATAAAAAAAGACAAAGTAACCCTGAACTATAACATATTCCAAAAATCTGGTGGTTCATGAAGTGAGAAATTATGGGCCTGGGTTTTTATAAAATTTGAAAGGTCAAAAGGGTAAGCAGATGGCTAGCTGTAGAATTTATTGCACATTAAGCAATTGTGTTGATGTGCCAGGCAAAGTCCTGGAAGCTTATGAGACCGTAAAATTCAATGACCCTGTATTAGACTGAGGGTTCAGCTCATGATACACATGCAGTTTTAGAGATCACATCTATCACTGGTTTATTATCTGTCAGAAACTCACACTATTCAACACAATTAATATCCTGCACTGTGGTTTTTACTATTGCTCTTTTTTTAACCTCTTTTTTTTCCATCTTGGTATTTTATGCTCCTTTTACAATATAACTAAGTTCAGGATAATCAAGTGACAGCTCAGCAATGCTAAATGATTTTCCAGTAACTTTTCAGTATTCATAAGTAATAAAATTTTATAAGGGATATAAAGAATTTAGATACTCAATCCCACATACTGTCATCAATGTACATGTGTAGTATTATTGTCATTAGTTGGAGCTTTGGAATACAGAAAACAGCAATCTTTTTTCATAACTATATAAAATACTTAAATTTCCTTTCGTAAAAAAAAAAGTTAATCCCAAGAAGATGATCTAGGGTATTATAGTTGCAGACTCTTTCTCTCATCAAGCACAAACAAACAAAATTGTCAAAAGACAAATATCTTGCACATATAAGAAAGTGCTATCTGGAGATTTGTTTTTAGTGTGATTCTAATAAAAACTGGTATACTATGAGACAGCATGCCATAGTGCTCCTTGTCAGATATTTTTAGTGGATGATGACTAATAACTTAATATTTACTCAATGTCAGATGTGGAACAGGAATTAATATAGCCTCAAATATCTTATAAAACTTTACCCTCACTTCTGAGTTTCCAAATCTCTGTATTTATGATTTTTAAGAATATCATATGAATGACCATAATTCTATTAAGCATATGTTCAAAAATTCAAATTATTCATAATTCTAAATAACAATCTGACTAAATCATACTTCATTATGTTCATTTAAGTAAAATATACTAATTTTTAATGCATTTAATTTTGTTTAATTGTACCTCTGAGTTTTTGGCATACTTAGCTAGGCCATCTTTACTGTTTCCAAAAAAACCAAGTGATAATATTCCTATTCTACATGTTTTAGAGAAAACACTACAAACATCAAAACATCATACTCAAAATAACTTTTCCCCGTATATACCTTCATTCAATAATCTCATTGTAGAGTTTATTTAGTGTAAAGGACTCTGTTAAAGTGATGTTTACTCTTCCTCAGTTCCATGGGACATTAATACAAGACAGGATATTTGCTTTAATACATATGCTTACCTGTACATTAAATTAATTTTAGAAGTAATTTATTTCAGATTATGGAGGAAACTACTATATTTTTTAATAATAGGCTGTCTGGTTTCATAAGATGTCTCGCTGAAGGAGCGATTCTTTGAAAATGTTATTTATTTATGTATTGAATTGACATGTTGTAGTTCTACATATTTAAGGGGTACACTTTGATACTTGGATACATCAAAATATCAGTGATCAAGTTGTATAATGACGCAATCAGGGTAGTTAGAGTATCCAAAACCTCATGCATTTTATCATTTATTTGTGTTAACAGCATTTAAATGCCTCTCTTAGAGCTATTTTGTAATATACCATAGTTTACTCTCTCCTGTATCACAGAACAACAGAATTTAGTCCTGTTATCTAATTACTTTTTACCCATTTACCAGCCCCCAGCCCCCAATCTCCTCCTCAGTCCCTGGTAACCACTTTTCTACTCTCAGCTTCTCTAATATCAACTTTATTATTATTATTATTCTACATATGAGTGAGATTGCGTGATATTTGTCTGTGTCTTGTTTTACTTAACATGAAGTCCTCCAGGTTCATCTACGTTGTCACAAATGACAGGATTTCATTATTTTTTGTCTGAATAGTATTCCATCATGACTATACCACAATGTATTTAACATGCTGAATTATTTATTTGGTTGATGCAGAAGTAATTGCAGCTTTCGCCATTGAACGTAATGGCAAAATCCACAATTAATTTTACAGCACCAACCCCGTATCAGGGCATGAAATCCTAGTATGTGAACTTTTCTTAAATTTAATAACAAAAA